TAAGAAAGGTAGGAAAGTAACATTTACTTAGTACTCCCTATTTTTCAGTTACTGTTCATCATTTTAAAAAGTGGTTATCTCATCTCGTCTTTATAATAATTCTTAAAATAAGAATTTTGTTTATTTAATAAAGACTTGAGGCCGAGGAAGGTTAAATAACTCAGTCAGCATCAGCAGCGAGTAAAGGCTTGTACAGAAGTTTGAAATTTAGATTTTTCTGACTCTAAAGACTGTGCTCTTTCAATATAATAGTTTGATCTCCATAGAGAGGGGCAGGACCAGGTGGGCTCAGCACTTAGATCTAAGGAGCCCATACAGAGCATCTGCAGCAATGGAGAACACTGTTGGCTCTTCCATATTTCCCTCCAGCTTAACATCAGAACTGGACATAGCCTTAAGGTAAGATTATATAAACAAACTCTGACTTGTCCTGGACCCTCACTCCCCAAGACGATGCAGATTTAGGTACCCATGCACTCCCCCGTAGTACTTTGTGAAGGTACCCAGCTCTGTACTTGACTCATTGTTTTCTATCTTGTTATGTGTCTGTCATCTGCTCTAGTAGGTGGTATCTTTGTGCAGGGGGAGTAGCTTACTCATCATTTTGTCCTTTCTACCTTATACACTGCCTGGTGCAGAGTTGGCGTTCATGGCGGCTGAAGTTTTGAGTCAGGAGAGTGGATGGGAATCAGAGTTGGAGTTGGCCATGAAAATGTCAGCAGCTGTTGCTTTACTTCCGTTATGATGACTCTGTTTTAGCATCTTTGGTTCCATAATCTTCCCTCCTACTTCTACTCTTTCTTTCTGTAAACAGGAATAACATTGGCAGCAGTGGTTCTAGAAGCAAGGGCATGGTTCTCTCTGTGGGAGAGTGTGGGAAGATGCTGGTGGTGAGGAGCCAAGGCTGTTCCATGCACAATTTGTCTATTCTGGGCTAGGTCAAGAAGTTATGCCTTGATACAGAATGGTTTGCCAGAATTGAAAAATACTGTAGAAGTCACAGATTGGAGAGACGCAGGGTATGTAAATAACCACAGATGGTAGCCATGGGACGGAAATCTATTATGGTGGTGTCTTTGGTCAAGCATTATATATTTTAATTGAATACTAACAATTTTTATGTGTACAAAGTAAACTTCTGCCCTGAAGCTAGAGAGGCAGTTTAGTGGAGTAGTTATATGAATGGACTGTGGATCTAGTCTGCATTTGAACCTTTCAATTTACTGGCTCTGCTTCTGGTAAACGTAGGTAAGCTCTGTGCTTTAGTTTCCTCGTCTGTAAAATGGCAATGTTTAGAGAATTACGTAATTTGTATGACACCCTTAGAAGCATGTCTGGCACTTTGGAAGCATTATTGAGTACATTATCATTATGGGATTTTTCAAAACTTCGTAGAAGGATAGTCATACAGATTTCAAAACTTCGAGGATTTGCCTGTCAAACTGGACAGTGTACACTGTTGCTTATTGTACACTACAGTGTTCAGTACTAAAAAATCAAGAAGCAAATGATGGATAAATCACTAAGTGTAGTGGAGCAATCACTAGAATCCAGGAGATTCAGGGTTGAAAGTCCTACCACTAATAGCAGCATGGTCTTGGAAAATTTCCTTGATTTTTTGGTCTCAATGTTTTTATTTTTTATTATTTTATTTGAAATGAAACTGCTGAATCAGATGTGAGACGGCAGGCAAGTACAAGCAGTTGCTAGTCCATCCACCTGTGGCCGTGGAAGGCATGGCCAATAAAAATATCAGCTCACTTTCCTGCTGCCTGTAATGTGGCTCTACACTGCGGGCCAGGAAGCCATTGCTAATTGATTGGTGTGGGCAAATAAAAAGGTGGATTTCCCACTCATTGTATGATATGTTCTTGAAGGTCCCTTCTTGCCCTATGCTTCTGTGATTTAATGACTCAAAAATGAGTGCATATGTTAGAGGCTGATTTTTTTGTTTTATAGATTTCATATAGTTGGCATTGAGAGATTTCTAGAAGGCTGAAGGATTCAGGGAGATTGTAAAACTTTCTTCAAAGTCAAGATAAGAAAAGATTCCCTGATTGTTTACCATGATTCTTTTGTTTAAAGGGGAAATCTTTTTTAAAATTTTTATTCATATATATTTTTATAAAAGAGATGGGGTTTCACCATGTTGGCCAGGCTGGTCTTGAACTCCTGACCTCAGGTGATCTGCCCACCTTGGCCTCCCAAAGCGTTGGGATTACAGGCATGAGCCACTGCCCCCGGCCTAAAGGGGAAATCTTAAGAGGTAAGGGAAGACCTGGTAAGCAGGAAGTCTGGATGTTCAAAATTATTTCTTTCTGGTATTCCCCAAACCTGCTTTTTAGAAAGGACTGCATATGGTTTTGGGTAGGCAAGGTGCAGGCATTTTGCCCTTCTGACTGAAGATGTTTGAGGGTACTGATGATAGATTTTGATGCGTTTAAAATGGAGAACTGCCCATAAATAGTGCTGGCTCCAGATTTGTGAGTTGAAAACAAACCAATACTGGGGAGTAATCAGAGGCCAACCACCTTTCCTGGCTTCTGTGTGTGCTTTCTATAGGGATCTTCATTAGACATTTTTGACCAGTAACTGATCACCTTCGGTAGAGCCTGGCTCTGTGACAAGTTGCTGTTTATTTGGAATTAAAGTTTGGAACTCAAGCCTATTTGAATAAATATATTTCAAAAAAGTGGTGATGTGGATGTGTTTCAGAGAATGGTGTACATTTCAAACATGGCTTTGGTGCTGAGTTCCCTTCTGACCCTCATGTTGCTGGAATCTCATGTCTCCTCTGGTTTTGGAGAAAGCCTCTGGTGTACTCCTTTCTGCTTTTATAATTTCTGAGCTAACAGTTTCTGCATGTCTGAGACTGGTAAATAGCCACTGCTGAGAAATCAAGAAATGTGGAACTGAAGAAAGTCACTGTCATAGTGCATTTGGGCTGCTACAACAGAAACCGCTAGACTTCGTATTATAAATGGCAGAGGTTTATTGCTCCTGGTTCTTTGATCTGTGAAGTCCAAAATCCAGGTGTCAGTAGATTTGGTATTTAGTGAAGGTCACTCTCTGCCTCCTACATGGCACTTTCTTACTGTGTCCTTGCATGTTGGAAGGGACAAACAAGCTCCTTCAAGCCTCTTTTTTAAGGGCACTAATCCTATTCATGAGGGCACCTCCCAAAGACCTAAGCTCTTAATGCCAATTCATTGGGGATTAGATTTTAACATATGAATTTTGCAGTGACACCCACATTTACACCATAACCACAGTTTTAACAATGTTGTGCATGAAGAATTTCCATCATCCAGATTACCTCCTTACTAGATATTATTTTAATCACTTGGAAATTTTCTTCCTTTAAGAGTAATATTCCTATATACATAAGAAATAGATTGAATTTACTTGCTCTGAACAGGGTAAAACACTAATTTCAGCTTTCTGTTGGCCCAGAGAGAAATGTTTTGTGAGGGATCTGCATCTACAGTGACGTGTTTGGGAACTTGTGCCTATGCAGTCATACATTCATCAAGAATCTACCCAAATAGATAGCTCTTGACTCCTCTGTGTGAAAGCAATGAGTGGAAGGCAGTTGTTACCTGAGAGCCCAGGTATTCTTCTTTAAGTTCCAAGATAACTTCATTGCCTCCAAAGAAATTCCTCATGTTCATATTATTTATACCATTCGTGATTTTGTATTTTATTTGCCAATTCTGAAAAAGACCAACTTTCTCTACACTAACCTCAAGCTGCAAAGAATCCCTTAGTACTGCTAGAGCAGTTTTGGGCTTTCCTGAAATTTATATTTGTGGATTCCTCTCACTTTTGTGTGTTTTTAAATAGAAAAGTCTTTTAAGACCTGGAACCAACCAAAATGACCATCAATGATAGGCTGGATGAAGAAAACGTAGCACATATACACAATGGAATACTATGCAGCCATAAAAAGGGATGAGTTCATGTCCTTTGTAGGGATATGGATGAATCTGGAAACCATCATTCTCAGCAAACTGACACAAGAACAGAAAATGAAACACTGCATCGTCTCACTCATAGGCAGGTGTTGAACAATGAGAACACATGGTCACAGGGAGGGGAGCATCACACACTGAGGTCTGTTGCGGGGAGGGGGGTTAGGGGAGAGACAGCGGGGGGTGGAGAGGCTGGGGAGAGATAACATTGGGAGAAATGCCTGATATAGGTGATGAGGGATGGAGGCAGCAAACCACCATGGCATGTGTGTACCTATGCAACAATCCTGCAAGATCTGCACATGTACCCCAGAACTTAAAGTACAATTAAAAAAAAAAAAGAAAAATCCTTCTCTTTGTGTTTCTTTGAGAAAATTGGTGAAACCAGAGCTGAAAATGGTATAAGAAGAAATAGATAAAGTGAACTAACTCTTGGAATGTGGGGATGGTGGAGTAAGATAAGTGAAGTGTGTTTTGGGGTCTTTCTAGTTCAAAACAAACATTTTTGTTTGTTCTCATCGCTCACTTTGTCAAAACTTTGCTTTCTTACTAGCTCTAAAATACAAGAGACGGGTTAATCTTAAAGTGTCTCCTTGCTTGGACAACATGCTGAAACCACTCTGGGAGTGATGAGCAACCTGCAGTGATAATCACACCCACAGTGAACATTTTCCGATCACTCATCGCGTGTTAGGTGCTGTTGCAGGCACTTTCCATGCTGTCTCTCACATCATCCCACCACTTCCTTATGTGTTTGGTGTAAACTCTCAACACCGTCTTACAGATGGAGCATGTGACGGATAGGAGATAACTTGCCTGGGCTCACACAGCTAATAGGTGGTGGAGCTGGGATTTCAACCAATGCACTATCAATAATGTTCCAGCAATTTTTTCTCGCGATATCATTTGGTCAAGGTTGTTTGATGACACAGTGAAGCGTTGTAATTGATAGGAGAAAATGAAGGTGGCTAGATGTTTTGTTTGGACCGTGAATGAATTATAACCTGTGTCTTGGTCTTCTGCTTTCAGTGGATTCTCCTTGCAAATGAGATAAGACATCTGAGAACAAAGAAGTCATGAAGAAGAGAGGAAATCATGATAGGCTGACAGTGAGTGTGGAAATAAAACAAATGTTGAGATGTCCCTAAAGTCTAATCACTAGTGTTATACTCTAGAGGGAAACTTTGATGCTAAGCATGAAGAATTTAACCCTCTTCATCATTCCATATACTGGGCATATAGTTTGTGTGGGGATTACAACCTGAATCTTCTTAGGTACCTCCAGTTCTGACACAGCAGCAACCTTTGAATCACGGAGTGTGTTTTCCCTGCTGCTTAATCTTCGTAGCAGCAAATTTATAGACAGGAGGAGTTTTTACTTTATCTGTTCCAACCACACTTCCACTTTATACCTTTGTACTGGGAAGCAGCTTCGGCTCTCTGTGGGCTCAGTGTGGGTGTGCCCATGTGAGTGCACTTTTGTGTATGTGTGTCTGGATATTCCTAAAGATGCCGGGAATAATGGTGAACAAGTAAGGGAGGGTGAGAACCTTTATTGTGTAACAAACTGAAGGCACCAAGAAGGCTGCATTTGTTGTGAGTCAAAAGGTTTATACAAAGATTTTCTTAGTCATGTCTAAGATTTTAATAGGGTAATTAATCTTTCTAAGTGTTAGTGCCAGATTATGGGATCAGCTATTATCCCTGGCTGCAGAGCAGTCCTTTGTGTGTTACTTTGAACAGGGCTAAGTGAAGAGAATACTCAGGTTGTCAGACAAAGATATGGCTGCAGCTAGCTTGTTTAGGTTTTAGAATGCATTTTCTTGTGCAGTTAAAAGAGCTCCTGTTTCCATGGGACTATCATTGCCCTTTAATAGCCATTGAGTTGAGGGGAATGATAGAGAAATAAAATACATGCTTTGTGCTTTTTATTCCTTAACAACCAATTATTATTATTTTTAAAATAATGATGGGTGTATCCATCTGAGACCTTATTTTAAGTCAGGAAACACAATTCAACAGAAAGAAAGCTCTAAAGGAACAGGAGCGAAAGATTTTCATCTGATTTAAAAGTTGGGCCTGTTTCTCTTTCCTTAATCTAAGTTTAGTGAAAATTGCCAAGAAATCCTGTAAGCCAACAAAAATCGAACAGAAGCACAGCGGCTAATGAGACTTGGCTGTGGCCTTTAAGCAAGAGTGATTATTTAATATAGCTTATCAAAATATTGATTAAATATAGATGGCTTGTTTCTTTCAAGTTCCTATACATATGAAAGAAAAAAGTTCAGAACATACTGCACCATGTAAAAACCCTGCAGGTATAATGATGCTGTTGCAACCCCGCCATGACCTCTGCTCTGGCTTTGATTAAACCACCTCTTGGCTTTGGATTTCTGCTCTGGCTGTCTAAACGAGGCAGTTTGTCAAAACCACATGTCTATTGGTTTGGCAATTGATTGCAGTTACTGCTTATTTTCCAAACTGCTCCAACTGTTTTGTTTACATGAACTATTAGGTGTTGTGATTCTCAGCTGCTAAATACTGCTGTAGACAAGATACCTTTTTTGAATTTCAGCACTTCCCCCCCATCCACGGGGCCACACTCTTTGCGTTTGCTCCTCTGCTGTAGCCAGCTGCATATGACGGGAAAGGTTACTATGTTTGTTCTTTCTTAAATACCATCTGTGTTTTGGGCATTAGGTTCTACTTGTGTTTGAGGTAGACCAGAGGTTGCTCGCGGACAGTGGGAGGACCTTTAATTTTTCTGCCTTTTATATAGATGTGATATGAGAATGAGGACTTACGCGAGATATACCCAAGTATTCTCCTGTGTTGAGTGGAGTGACGTGTTTTATGGAAAGTTTTAAGGAGTAGGGGAGAACTTGGGCTGAATGTTTTGATGGTCTTAGAGTCATGTTAGTGACTTAGACATATCTCTAAAGCAGGGGTGAGTCATCTCTCCGTATTGAGATTCCAAACTTACAGTACCTGAGCTGATGGGAGGAGAGTCGGTGGAGAAGGGAACAATGCTCATGAGAATAAGAGAATGGTGGGAATACGTGGGCATGTCAGGCAGCCTACATGACACAAAATGGGTCATACAGCAGTTGGGGTGGGGGTGCATGCCAGTGTAGCCCATATAGATTAGATGATACTTGTAGGTGATATTCCCAGACTGCTGCTGCTCTTGAGGGAATATTACTCAGAGAATTTCATAATATTATTCAATGATGGTCAAATAAGAAATTATGTTTCACAGCAGCAGGGGTTTAAAATGCTCTTCTCGGCTGGGTGAGGTGACTCCTGCCTGTAGTTCCAGCACTTTGGGAGGCTGAGGTGGGCGGATCACCTGAGGTCAGGAGTTCGAGACCAGCCTGGCTAACATGGTGAAACCCCATCTCTACTAAAAATACAAAAATAAGCCGGTCATGGTGGCAGGAGCCTGTAGTCCCAGTTACTTGGGAGGCTGAGGCAGAAGAATTGCTTGAACCTGGGAGGCTGAGGCTGCAGTGAGCCAAGATCACACCATTGCACAACAGCCTGGGGGACAAAAGTGAGACTTCGTCTCCCCCCACCAAAAAAAGTGCTCTTCTCATTGTCACACCATGCAGGATATTGATTATGATATTGATAGGCGAATCTACATAGCACCTGCAAAAAAGTGTGTGAGTGGCTGCAGCGTCTAGCAGTCGTTCCTGTTATTAGGAAAAGTAACTGCTAACATTTTGCACATTTTGCACAGCATATTGGTAAGAGAGAAGCATCCTGGATAAGTCAGTAAGGCTGATTCAGGACTTAAAGTTAGTATTTAGGATTTGTAGATGAAAGCCCGAGCCCTTGGGACAATTCTTAGGGATGAGCATGCTGAAGCTATTCAAGAGACGGGAAGAAGAGGACCGGCATGGCCTGGAAGAATCCCAGGTGAAGAAGAGGAGAGACAATTTGCTGGATGAGGGGGAATTGGGTATTGAAGTTAGGAAACACTGTCTACTTCCTATTAGTGGTTTTATGTTAGTGTGTACATGTGAGTTTTATTTCAGTATATGGCTTGTAAGATATCATTTTGTTTTACTAACACTCTGTTGTTGAGTGCCTGGTTGAGTGGACTGTCCTTGACTTTTCCTGACAAGATTCTGGGTCCCATGTTGGCCCAAATGGAGAAGTAGGAGCTCAGATAGAAAGCTGCCTTGACAAGCCTTACTTCTTTTTTTTTTATTTTTATTTTTTCCCATTTATTTATTTTATTGCATTTTAGGTTTTGGGGTACATGAGAAAAACATGCAAGATTGTTGCATAGGTACACATGTGGCAGTGTGATTTGCTGCCTTCCTCCCCATCACCTACATCTGGCATCTCTCCCCTTGTTATCTCTCCCCAGCTCCCCACCCCCCACCGTCCCTCCCCTATTTCCCCCCAACTGACCCCAGTGTGTAGTGCTCCCCTCCCTGTGTGAGTGTGCTCAGTGCTGGCATAAGTGAACAGTCACAATGGTAAAGTAAATAAGAAAAACCTCATTTAGATTGCACTTGAAATGTTTCTAAGGACATGCTGTCAATGTGGACAAGTAAAAATCTTTTTATGGCTTTTTTTCTTCTTGCTGGCCATTGTAGAGGTGAAAAAAATTGAGGGGAAGAAGTGATAAGGTGAGATTGAGAGGGAGGGTGAGCTTCATTCCCCTCGATGGAGAGCAGGTTAGAGTAATACTTTATTCTGCTACATCCATATATCTCATTAGGTCAAGTATCAAGTATCCACATGTTGGAACTCAAACATTTTTTTCCCCGGTGCTTTAGTGGGTTCATAACAGCGCCAACACAAGTCACCAAGAATTGTGAAAAGCAAGCAGAGAACCAACTTGTTGGTGGGAAGAATGACTACACTTCCATGTAATTTATTGTAGTTTCTCATGTTTCAGAAAATTCCAGATACAGAATTATTTTATGGATGTCAATATATTTATCAACTCAGTTTATGGGAGTCCTAGAGCTTTTTTTTTTCATATCAAGCAGAGGGAAATAGTAAATCTCTTTTATGTAGAGACTTTATTTTCTTTTTAACATGTTAAATTTATTTGTAAGGATAATTCATGGCCATGGCAAAAAAATCAGAATTAACAAAAGCATATAGTTAGATATAACTAAATGTGAAGAGCTTTTCTTGACTTTAATTTTTGTTTTGGTAGAGAATTTGTATTGCCTTCTTGCATTTTCTAAAAACATAGAAATCACATATATATGCTTTTAATTTGGAAGCTGCTGCTTTTGCTGTGTTTTATTTTTGTTTTAAAGATCAAAGGTATTGGCCAAATTGGTTTACTTCTTAATGGTCTTAGAAACTGTTTTGTGATCTTGAAAAATGTCCATCAGGTGAAGTTGGAGTTGGGGCCTAATGAGAGTTTGTGTTAGGCTGTTCCTAGCATTGATACAGAGAAATACCTGAGACTAGGTAATTTATAAGAAAAGAAGTTTAATTGGCTCAGCTCTGCAGGCTACACAGGAAGCACAACACTGACATCTGCTTCTGGGGAGGCCTCAGAATGCTTACCTCATGGTGGGAGGTGAAGGGAGAGCAGGTGTCTCACACGGTAGGAACAGGAAGGCACAAGAGAGACAGAGAGGTGCCACACACTTTTAAACAACCAGATCTTCCATGATGTCACTGACTTTTTCAAGGATAGTACCAAGGAGATGTTGCTAAAGTATTCATGAGAAATGCACCCCCATGATTCAATCACTTCCCACCAGGTCCCACCTCCAATACTGGAGATTACAATTCAACATGCTAGTTGGGCAGGGACAAATAATCAAACCATATCATTCTGCCCTGACCCTCCAATATCTGCTGTTTCTCTCATTTTAAAGTACAGTCATCCCCTTCCTAACAGTCCCTTCGGGTCTTAACTCATTACAGCATTATCTCAAAAGTCCAAAGTCCAATGTCTTATCTGAGACAAGGCAAGTCCCTTCCAGGTATGAGCCCGTAAAATAAAAAACAAGTTATTTACTTCTAAGATACAATGAAGGTCTAGGCATTGGGTAAACATTTCCTCTTCAAAAGGGAAAAATCAGCCAAAAGAAACAGGCTACAGGCCCCACTGGAGTTTGAAATT